TGCACAGCGGGATGGAGATGGGCTGGCAGAACCCGTGGTCCGGGATGGAGATGCCCTTCTCGCCGTGGAACTGGCCCCAGCAGGAGCCCAGCAAGTTCAGCCAGAGCAGCAGCGAGCAGAGCCGGTGCAGGACGCTGGAGGGGCGCATGGTGTCTGCCGCGGCGAGCGCTCCCCGGGCCCCGGGCGCGGCCTCCCGGCGCGGAGCCGGCGGAAAAGTTTGCGGGCGGGAGTTGAGCGACCGCGAGCGCGTCCCGAGCCGGGCACTGGGCGCCCTCCCCGCAGCCGGCCGCGCTCCCCGAGCCTCTCCCTCCGGCCCGGCCCTCCTTTGTGCAGCTCCAGCCCTCTTCATTCCCAATTAGTCGGTTTCAAGGGGCCCGGCCCTCCCCCCGGCCGGGGCTCGCCTAATCAATTCCAGCCCGGCCCCTTTCTTCCCTCTCCGCCAAAAGGGAGCCTTGAAACAGCCCGGCCGGAGCCGCAAGACCCTTCCCAAAATTGCCTCTCGCCCAATCAGATTCAAACCCCGGGCCCAGCCCCGAGGGCAGGATTGGTCAACCACAACATAATGAGATCAGAGACCAGATGCCAAAGAAACCTCCCCCCCAGCCTTTGCTTTTTAAAGGGGCCAATTTATTATTAATCATCATTGCGATTATTGTTTTGCACATACACTGATCTTCGCGGCCGGGTACAGCCCCGCGAGGTCCTCTGCCACCCTCCTGTGCCCACTGCCAGCAGCGGGGCATCACCCGCCTCGGACTGGCCCCCTCCTCGCTTCCCCAATAGCAGACTACAAGCTGCAGGGGCCGGGCAGCTTCGGGGAGTTTCATCGGAAAGTTTGGCCGGCTTCTTCCCGGGCTGCTTATTTCAGTCGTTTGCTGATGGACTTAAATACCTGCTTGCAAACAGGCAGCCCCGACCTCAGTTCCGGGTTTTCAAGACACTTTAGACAACTTCGAGTTTCTTTTCTTTGCTCCGATGACATCTTTATTCTTTCAGCTTCTCTCTTCGGGGTGCTGTGCTTTTTTTTCCTGGTTAGCTAGTCTATAAAAACAAACCAAAACAATCCCCCCCCCCGTCCGTGCATTCTTGTAAATACTGAGCGGACGCACAATCTCAGATTTTGTGAAAAAAAACCTTTCCAAATGTGCCCCCGCCAGCTTACAGACGTCAAGGTTTTACGTCCTATTTATTTTTCTTTAAAACAGGATTCTACCCTTTGGGTTTGGAAGCACGTGATTGCACTGGGTTTTATTTAAATTGCTACTCGCAACCCCCCCCCCCCCCCCCCCCCCCCC